TTTTTTTTGCAATGAAAGATGAAAGGTAAGGGTGAAAATACTAAAAAATGAAGGTATGGACGTTTTGCACAATAACATTGAAAGGTATGGATTTTTTGTGCTAATTATACCAAAAAATGAAAGGTATGGACGTTTTGCACAATAATATTGAAAGGTATGGACATTTTGTGCTAATTACCTTTTGATTTAATAGAGCATTTTAACGGGAAGTTGACAGAATGACGTTTTGCGCAAAAAAAAAAGAGGTAAAGATAAGGGTGTAATCCGTCAAAAAACGAAAGGTAAGGACGTTTTTCACAAAAACATCGAAAAGTAGGAACGTTTTGTGCTAATTACTTTAAAAATTTAAAACAACTCGTTATGCTAATTTTACTTTGGAAGTAGGGTATTTATGAAAAATATTCCTTTAGTTAATATATCCAAATCGGCCCAAATTAAGTCCAGGCTCAATGGGCATCTTCACTAACCGCCGCAAAGCCCAATCTTCTCTTTCCAACTCAAAAAGGTTGCGATTGAAAAACTTCCGGCTCCTCTCCACCTTTAGCAATCATTACCCTCTACACCATCCCCCGCTTCCAAAACCCTAATATTCGGCCGATTTCCTCTCAAGTTTTCTCCATTACAGTCATGGCGAGCACTACAGAACCTACGAATCTGAAAAGAGAAGAAGAGGAGGAGGATGATTCAAAACCAGGGGCAGAAGATGAGGACACTGGGGCACAGGTGGCTCCTATAGTCAAACTCCAGGAAGTAGCTGTGACTACTGGCGAAGAAAATGAAGATATCCTTCTCGATCTGTGAGTATTTACTCTTTCTGTATAAAGCTCATAGATCTTAGTTGTGTACTATACGAATATGTTGAGAACTTGTATTTTTGAGGAAGCTGTTTTGATTGCAAATCTATGCAGATTTGCAATTGTGTTCTGGTCTTTGTATTTTCGTCTATCTTGTATTTTTTTCCTGTAGTTAATTATTTGTTTTATATTTGTACGTTCTCGAATATTCTAATGATATTGGGGTTTTTGGATTGGCACTATATTATTGATAAATGTGGATGTTAGGAAGGCGAAGCTGTATAGATTTGACAAGGAAGGGAGCCAATGGAAAGAGAGGGGGGTTGGGACGCTGAAGCTACTCAAGCACAAGGAGAGTGGCAAAATTAGGCTTGTCATGAGGCAGAATAAGACCCTTAAGATATGCGCTAACCATCTGGGTAAGTTCACACATACAATTATGGGTATTGTAGGTTTTTTGCATGTGTGTATTCTACACCCATAAGTAGTTATAGATTTGTGATATGGAATCATGAATTTGAATTGTCCATTAAGAATTGGTTTCGGTTTTTTATCCAGTGCTACCCACAATGACTGTGCAAGAGCATCAAGGGAATGACAAGTCATGCGTATGGCATGCTGCGGATTTTGCAGATGGAGAGTTGAAGGAGGAGACTTTTGCTATTCGTTTTGCTTCTGTGGAAAGTGAGTCACATCTCCTTTTATCTACAATTTGCTATAGCCTTTATACGGCACTATTAAATTAGACTTAAGTACATGCTTGGTGGGTTTCAATGCTAAGAAAAAATGAAGCAAATAGGTATGAATTTCTGGTTTTTTGTGAAAAGACCACATCTTGGGTAGATATCGTGTCTGCTGTAAACTTTGGGGTTGTTTGACAAAGATTTTGATAAAGTTTTATCTGCTTTTGATTAAAGTTGATGCAACATGTGGTTGAAAAATTGTGGCGGTCTATGAAATGTGTTGTTAAAATTAAAGTTTGATGTGTAAAATTTTTAGCAAAGTTACATCAAACAAGCGCTTAAATTGAATGGTGGATGGCTGGATGCTTTGTCAAATAGTTGATGTTTGGAAGTTCTTGAAAGAGATAGGAGTTGGTGATTTTGATGCGTTGACTTTTTTTTCAACCTGGTTCAAGTGTTCATTGTAGTTGGTTTTAGGACTTTGCCTTTTTAGAGTGTCGCTTTTCTGAAATTTTTTACTGTTTGAGACGAGTGACTCTGTTTGTAAGTGCATAGTGTAAACAATCTTTACACCTTACCTACTTTTGCTTTTAAAATGGGATGGAAGACAAAAGTCTAATTAGTTTCAGCTTCTTGTTTGGCTCAATTAAATAGAAATTTTTTACTGATGTTCTTGTTCTAGTACTGCTATTCTTGCCATACTTGGAGTTTTTCATTTGCAGTTTGACATTTGCTCATTTACATTAATCGAATTTCAGCTTTTGACGTCCTTGTTACAAAAGCAAAATTTTCTCAGTAGATGTGATA